TGATTGATTGATTGGTTGATTGATTGATTGATTAATTGATTGATTGATTGACTTGACTGGTTTGACTGATTGAATGATTGGTTGATTGATTGATTGATTGATTGATTGATTGGTTGGTTGGTTGGTTGGTTGGTTGGTTGGTTGATTGAATTGACTGATTGAATGATTGATTGATTGATTGATTGGTTGATTGGTTGATTGATTGATTGATTGGTTTATTGATTGTTGATTGATTGAGTGATTGATTGATTTCATTTGGTTTGGCGTGGTTTGATTGGATTTGATTGACTGATTGACGGATTAACTGATTGATTTTCTTGTTGCCCGATTTGCTGTTTGATCGACTGATTGACTGGCTGCTTGTTTGATTGTTTGATTATTTGTCCGATTGCTTGATTGAATGAGATGCATGGATGCATGGGTTGATTGATTGGTTGGTTGATTGATTGATTGATTGGTTGGTTGGTTGGTTGATTGGTTGATTGGTTGCTTGGTTGATTGAATGCATGAATGGATGGATTGATTGGTCGACTGATTGGCTATTATTGCTTGATTCATCCCTTCATTCGTTCATTCATTCATCTATTCATCCATCCATTCACTCACTCATTCATTCAATCATTCAGTCTTGAACCATTTACTCGGTTTCGTTTCATTTCACTTAATTTCACTTATTCGTTCATTCATTTCATTCATTCATTCATGTATTCATTCATTCAGTCATTCATTCATTCGTTCGTTCGTTCGTTCACTCATTCATTCAATCTTTGATGTATTGATTGGATCGGTTCCTGGGTTGGACTGGGTCGTTTTTATTTTGGTGTCTCCTATACGACCAATTGGTCCATTGGCGGTGGCGGTGCGTTGGTGGTTTTTTGGTAGTGCGTTGGTAGCTTATGGAAACGATTCGCGTTGACTGCCTCGGCCAGCCCAGAACGCAGCGTCTGTGGCTCGAAGGCATGCGACAGAGCAGGTCAAGTAGCAATTCGTAGGTGTGAGTCACGGAGCCAAGTGACGCAGTGGCGCTGCGTGCGTGAAGCTTGCAATGGACAGGCTCTGGCTTTGGACCAGTGGATGTCAAGGGCCGAAGGTGCGAGGCAACCCAGCTTGGCGCGCAAGCCACATTGGCCCGGCATCGGTCTTCTACAGCGACAGCAAGAATGATAAGAACTGAAGGTTGTCGAAGCAGCTTCTCTGATGCAACGTGTTGGGAAATCATGTCTGCGCCCGGCGATAGTGGCAAATCTGGACTGAAGTGCTTGACACTGCGTGGCTTGACTGGACTGGGCTGGGCTCGCGCCAAGCTAGCCGGGCAGGGCCAGGCTGTGTTGGGCAGGCAGAAGTGAGTTAGTTGACTTGCTAGGCTGAGCTAGGCCAAGCCAGCTGGGCTGGGCAGCCGGGCAAGCTGAGCTAGAGTCGACTGTAATTGGCTGCGCTTTTCGACCCAAGCTGGGGTAAAATTGAATAGGCTGCTTGGAAAAGAGATCTGAGCGCTCTTGCTCCAAGGGGCCAAGGTGAATTTTTAGCGCGTTGGCGGTTGGTCAATGATCGGGCTGCTTGGTTAACTGCTTGCTTGCTTGCTTGCTTGCTTGCTGTGCTGTGCTGTGCTTTGCTTTGCTTTGCTTTGGTTTGCTTTGCTTTGCTTTGCTTGCTTGCTTGCTGCTTGAGTTTTGTGCTCCTTTGCATTGCTTTGCTTTGCTATGTTTCGCTATGCTTTGCTTTACTTCGCTATGCTTGGCGTTGCTTGGCCTCCTTGCTTGTTTTCTTTCTTGTCGTTGCGCCGTTTTTTTGTCTCGCTGCTCTGTTGATGCATCCGCGGTTTTGTTTTACGCAAATTTGTTTGGTTTGTCAAAGCCGCGCATTGCACTTCAGATTTGGCTGCGCACATTCTTGGGTACATGCGTGATTGTGTGCGAGTGTGTACGCGCATGGTATTTATTTTAATGACTATCACGTTCACTTACTTTGCGGTACAAATATTGGCATACACATATTTGCCGCACCTTAGATGCCTAGAGCATGAGGTTTCGTGCTTTGACACGTGCCACTCAGATCATATTTTGTGGCTAAATTTTGCGATCGCTGACGTGCATATTTTCTTATTGTGCGGCTGCCAAACCGATTCATCAAGCCTTTGAGGAGCTTCCTCGCTGGTGGTAAGTGTTTCCGAACTGGGTCATCCTTACGCGCGCAGGATGTTGTTTCCAGGCCAATTGCATGCCATTGCAGCATTGCCTACTTGTACTGTGTTGTCGCTCGAAAGAAAGCGCAGTAGCACCACGGTGTTTTGTAGAAGTATTGTGCAGCTTCTTGCATTCTGTGACATAGAGGTTTGTCACCACCGTCCTGTGTAAAGTGTTTGCATGAGAATGACACCGATTGATTGCACATTGTAGTTTGTTCTCGATGTTTGTGTTTCGAGCAATTTGTTTGAGCGATGCATATGTGTCAAGACAATGTAGTTTCTTTTTGAAGCGGAGACAAGGTGCTCAGTTTCGAGACACACCCAAACTGGTCGACGGGGAAGTGCGTTGCTGTGCCTGCGGAGGACAACTCTGGCGCCGCCTGGTGCAATATGTGATGTGGTTCCGAACTCGCAACCCCCAAGTGCCAGTTGGGTGTGTGTTTTTGCGAGGCGCAGCACCCTTTTCAAGTACTAGTTTAAAGGCAATTCGAAGGGAGTGCCGAATCCATTTTGGGTGTCCACATCCCTGCTTTTACACGTTTACTTTGGTGTCCCTCCAATCTCGACTTGCCGGCCGTTTTGTGGAAGTTGCTCGAGTAAGGACTGGACTTGCCCACAATGTCAGTTCTACAACTTTGCGAGTCGGCAGGACTTGGTCGGTGGTCGAATCGACCTGAACCAACAGGTGCTGGAAATCTCAACTTTGTTTAGGCTAGCAGTTTAGGCCCTCAAAAGATGCAACTGAAGGGCAGCTCAGTGTTGGTGACTGTGAGCCTTCGTGCGTGAGCGTGCGAAATTTCAGGCACCCCCGCTCTTCTCAGTGTTGCTACAGTTGACCGCCTTGAAAGCTGACCCCGAAACGCGCAACATCAGGATTCAGTGGTCGGAGTCTGCAGTTTGCAATCTTTCGGCTTTAGAGACCATGCTCTCTTGATTGCATTCTCTCATAGTTGTCTTTTGATCTCTGAGGCATTTTGTTGGTTAGATCATCACCAGCCAACCAACCGGGGTCACCTGATCAATTCACACTCCTCCGCAGTGTAATCGAATGGGCCATTCCGGAGCATTGCGAACACTAACCAAAGTCATGAACTGCGTCCTGGGATGTGAGGCAAGAAGAGGGGGAGTCAAAAAGCAGAGCAGAATATAGAGCAGACCAGTCACTACATGATGTCCGTAATGTGCCAGCTATGTTGAAGCTTGCTTGCTAGTACACGTGCTGATCTTGATTTCTTGCGCATACCTGCCGAACAAGCTTGCGTGCAAACAAGAACAACGTCAACTCAGCTCCCAATGCTACTCCATCTCCCCGCAGTGTACGAATGCCCTGTCGACATGATCACAGCACGGTAACACAGCACACTGACCCCATGTTGTGCTTGGCGGGCGCCGGCCCTCTTCAAGCTTTCGGCTTTGGGGGCGCGTGGTTGCCGGGTTTATCGCACGGAGAGTGGGCGATTCAGCTTGGACTTGATTCGGCGGCGCTGGAATTCGTTGGCCATGTTGGCCAATGCAAGTAGGATCAGCTTCCTTTGAGCACTTTGCAGGAATGCCGAAGCTGCTGGGCCCCCAAATCATTATCTCCTCCACGGAGAAAGGCGCGGCTCTCAAGATGTTGCTCGACGGCGCTGATCGAGTTGTGGAAGCAGCATCGGATGAAAGAAACGATGTGGAGCTACAGACGGCGTCTTGAGGCAAAGCCACTTCGCCATCGTTCATTTATGCGCCTCGGCCATGAATCATAAGTATTGACCATTCCACTGCTCACCTTACTCTATAATACGAAGTTTTCTCTCGCAGTGTCTTTGTCATTCGTTGCTTGTGTGTGTGTGTGTTTGTTGAGGGAACCCTTCTAAAGGTTGGTTTACAGGAGCATCAAAGGAAGACGGACATTCTGAGGATCCATATCCCACATGTTGACACATGCTCTACCCGTCTCATTAGCCACATTCGATTCACAGTTGTGTAGCACTGGCTTGCCGCAGGTTCGCAGAGAAGGTCCGCTCTCTTGCGAGTGGCCGGAGCCTTGGCCAACTTGAGTGCAGATCACTGCGCCTCGGATTTGGGTGCGCTTTGCGGTTTTAAAGGGACACCGGGAAACCTAAATTGGAAGCCCCTTTTGGGCGGGGCTCCACTTTTTCAATTCAATACCTTGACTCAGATTTGCACGCGGAGGTTCCTTTTGGGACCCCTGTGAAAAAGCAACGGAAGCCATCGCTTCAATGATTTGGTGTGGGGGCGACCGGCCAAGGCCAAGGCCAGAAGTCGCAGACCCTCTGCCGAGACTGCAGTGGTGTCTCCTTGAAGGCCTTATTCCTGTGCCTTGGCGCCCAAAAGCAAGGGGGACCCTCTTTTCTGTGGAACGCATGTGTTTGAACCATTTGGGGTCAGTCATCTCTTGTTTTCTTTGTGCTTGTTTTTGGGCGACCCCCCCGATGGAAGTCAGGGTCCCCCCAATAGTAAAGTGTAGCGCTGCAGTTCCAGTTAACAACTATGTTTGACCCAGGTTGGGACACCGTGTCGACGTTGACTTCCTCAAAGGAGAGTTGCATTTGGCATGAAGCTGCAGCCGCAGTAGGATGGCAAGGCATGTGGACATCCAGGAAGGATGTCAGTGGATAAGTGGATCCATTGTCAGGCGTGGCCTGTCCATCAGGTGGACCACATGCAAATCATGCCCATATGTGGGCCACATTTGACTGTACAAAACCAACAGGCAGCTGCCAGAGATGCCTCGATGCTCTTGGGAATGAGAAGACGCCTGCAGGCGGGGCGGTTTGGGGCTGGCCGCGTTGGAGTGCCCTTTTTGCATTACGAGGACGTGCTCACCCGGCGCCTGGCAAAGATTGGGGTCCAACAAGCGGCAGACACGGAGGCGGCCGTTCGACGCATTTGGAGCTGGTCTTATTGTATCATGTGCCAGGTGGTCAACGTGATGACCCAAATGTTGGTGCTTGACGTGGAGCTGTGGCCTTAACATCTCACAAACTGATATCCAGTAGCCATGCACTCAGGTAACGCATTCAATTGAAAAACATATCAAATAAAACTATATCTTGAATGATTCAATGATACGCCGTGACTTCGATTCATATGAGTAATATTATCTATGCACCTATGCATTCAGACGGGCCGCCGCCGCCTTCTTTGTCGATCTTCTATGGAAGTTGGTTTGAATAGACACCAGCAGGCAACTAAGTGTTCACGGGTTTCCGTTGTTGCAACTCTGGACAAGTAATCTTTTGGTCTTCCTCATTTTGGCGTGCCCTTTTGCCAGGACTCATGACAAGATATTGGGAAACATCCTATCTTAGTGTTTGGCGCAATGTGCTTTTAGATGGGTTGGGGGCAACCTTGCACAAGGCCTGTCCTCCGCAGGGAACGCCACCCTGGAGACAAATTGTGTCAAGCGCAAAGAGAGGATGCTTCCCAAGTATCCCCAAGTCACATTGTCACATGTTAAGCCTTCGTTCCAGGTTCTTCATGCATTTGTGTGCCTTGGTGCGGCCCAACCCTGGCAAGGGAAGCCCAAGATGGGCTCCCTGGTTGCGACGGGGTGTAGCCGAACCGAACCAACCATTTGTACCCCACCGTCCCCACCGTATTTGTTTCTGTTCAACGATGGTTGCCCAGCTGTTGGTTGGGTCTACGGATTGTTCTGCAGTTTTCGGGAGGGGTGTGCTGCCTCGCATTTCGTGAGTCATAGGCATCACAAGGAAAAGGCGCGTCAAAACTTATCTGTTTCGGGGATGGCGACAAAAATGGCAGGTCGTTGTACACCTGGACCGCTTTGTATGTTGCTAATGCTGCCAGGTCTGTATTTTTTAAGGATGCCGATGTTGTTGAGTGTCAAACGAGGCATCGTTCATGCCGCCAATGCTTGGATGAGGGTCAAACTGTGGAATCGTGCCTGGTCCCTATGCATGGCGTATCTAATGCGTTGCTCAAGACCCAAGTGTCCGTAGAGCGAAGCGCGGAAAAGGAGTCAGCGGCTAGGGCTCGGGCTTCTTAGCCAGGATGGGCATTACGCCTCAGGTTATCAGCCGTAGGTGTTTGAGCTGCCATGGATCCCCCGCACTTGCCTGCTGTTTGCAATAGCCGCGACGGAAATGACCCAAACCAAGTTGTTATGCCTTTCCAGAGATTCAGGCTACGAATTGTCAAGCTACGCTAAATGTGTTGCACGCGCACGCTGACCGTAGAGATCTTCGAGGAGGAATCTGAGGCTCCACGCCGAGCAACTATGGATGCAACAAGGGCCGAGCGCAAAGCGCTTTTAGCTGAAACTGTTCGGCTCCTAGATGAAGAGAACAGGGGTCTTCATGTCAGGAAGAGTGGATGGAGACCCGCACCTTCTTCCACGGCTAGGTGAACATTTTGCGGGGAGCAGTCGCTGCCAAGGTAAATTAAGCTGTTTCTCCAAGGTATGAATGCTCCCAGGGAGGTCAGTTGATGCTCTTCCAACCACGTGCAAAGTGAGATATCAAGAGCCACGCGTTGAAAACTGCAACGCGAGAAGAAATCAGGGACCTGTGTCCACATGGCTTGGCAGGGCAAAAGTGTATGGACTTATGGCGGAGCTTTCTGATCGGATGCTGGCCCAAAGCTTTTTGCCTCCGTGTCTCGAATTGCTAGGTCCAGACTTTTTTGCGAGCAGCAGGGACGGGTCGATCATCATGTTAAATTTGACCCACTGGTCATGGCACTTTGGCACTGAGCCCCAACTACTGAGTGTCGTTGACCCCCTCAAAGTCTTTCACAGACACAATGTGTCACGCCAATCTTCACCATCAGATTCCTCGCCATCCCCCCAGCTGCAGGGTCTCCTGCAAGTGCGGCGGGGCCGCATCATTCTGGAACTCTGCTTTCTTGGAGCAGTTCATCGGGCAACCATTTTCGCGATTCAAGCCATTGCTTGACAGCCACTTGCGCAGGCAAGTGGAACGACAGGTGTGCCCGCACTCCAAAGATTCCAGGTTCTGCGTCGGATGTCACACTTACAAGTGACAAGGGCATCATTGCTCTGGCTCTGAGACTGGTCTGGTGGCACGCACTTGCCCGGCTGACCGGCTGACCTCTCAACGTAACAACAAAGCTCTGAACGAAATGCTTAATTCAAATGATTGGCGATTGTTACATTGTGATACGCCTGTTTGCATGCACCAAAGCACTTACACAGGCTGACTCATACATTCAATGTTTTTTTGGTGTGCGTGTGTATGCATCACTTATTACTGTTCACAACCCCAAGCCCTGCACACGCAGCGCATCAGCTCATCATCATCATGTTTGTCCTCCACGGGAAGGGGCTCTTCCAGAAAGAGGTCGTCGCGCCTTTAGCAAACTCCTCGTCTTTGCCTTTGCTCCCCGAATTTAAATCATAATGCTTATCGTCCTGCCACTGACTCTCGTCCTGGCCGGTCTTATCATTCTCTGACTCAGTCTCAAGTCGTCAACCTTGACCTTGGCAGTCACGGGCGCTGCTTTTGCGTGCGGGGGCGGCATGGCCATCATGGGCTCTGGCGCCAACGATGTCACAGGTCTGGCCCTTCAGCAGACCAGGGTGGCAGGGGCGGCAGGGGCGGCACCTGATGCCTTGCACGTTGTCTCAACTGGGCCAGCTTTGACCAGCACGATCATAGTATGCAGGATTGTGCTTGTAGCGCTCTGCGGATGAGACCTGGTAATCGAATATGGCCTTGGTTGCTCGTCCTTCCGGAAATCCTGCTGGATGTTCGTTTTGCCCCATCCAAATACGATAGTCATCATCACATCTGGGAATGTTCGATCAAATCCTGATCCGCATTTCATGCACAGGTGATGACGGACAATGGATTTCAGGGTGCACGAAGTCTCCATTGCATACTCCATTCTGTCCACGAGTGGCAAATTCCTCGTTTCATTCCACAGTCTCTGATATGTCCTCATGAGGATGTTCACGAGACCGTTGGTCGGATTGTAGACGTGCTGGAGTTTGCTGTAGGTGTTCGCTGATTTGTTGGCGTCTCCTGTGATCGCATCGCATCGGTACAAGGTCACGAGCGGCATGATTTCATTCTGAAGATCTTCCTTTGCTGCTCCATGGCTAAGTGAAGGATGGATGTGGAAGACTCCAATGGTTGCGAATGGTAGATCTGCCCTCGTTATGTGGCGGTCGTCATACTCGTGGAATGACTTGTCGGATGATTTTGGGATCATGCCACGAAACTCATCACTCTGCTCGATGTGGAGAACGACGATCTCCTTGTCTCGGCCATGTCCTTGGACAATGGTGCGTGCTGGCAATCTCGATCCAATGTACTTCTTGGGTTCAGTAAACATGGATGTTCCTGTGGTTGCCAAGCAATCCGAGGTCGGAATTTCGTATTCGGGATCAGTGCAATCTCCTTTAGTTCCGAAGAAACATCTGAACATTCCGAATGTGGTTCCCCAATTCTGGCTCCTGGTGGAAATGTGTCTTGCCAGAAGTTCCACTCGTGCAGAGGGTCCGCCGCGGACAAAGCATGCGATCGGTCTGGATGACCATTGCTTGATCACGATGCCCTTGTAACCGTATCGGATGAACGTCTTGATGAGCTCCCTGGATTTCTCATCATTCGGACTGAAGAATGCGTCTGCTTCATTCAGGCATAAGATGTGTGCACTGTTCTGCATCATCATCTTGACGATCGGTCGATCCTTCATCGGCATGTTGTGCACCTCCCTGTTGTCCAGCTTTGGATTCCTTGTGAGGTTTCCATGGTTCAGGGTAAGCATGTTGATCGCTATGGATGAGGTGAACTCATGCATGTTGAGATAGTCCACGGGAGGACGGTCAGTCGGCTGCATCAGCGATCCCAGGATATCGGCATAGGCTCGGATGATTTTCGGGTCATCATGTGACCTGAGCTTCTTCAATCCAAGCGGAAGCTTGATCGGATATCCGGATCCTGGTTGAGCTTGCTTGTACTCGTCAACGGTGGGACATTCTCCTCGATGAGGGAAGTAGAATTCTTCTTCACCGAGATTGACATCAGGATCGACATGTGCCAATGAGGCTCTCTCGCACTCTGTCAAGTTGGGATGAGCTCTTCTTGGATCTTTGTTGAACTGGTTCATGAAGCGGGTGAGGTTCTCCCTGGTCCCCGCGAGCTCTTCCTCTGCGTCCTTTTTGTTCATATCTGTTTCGAGATAGATTTCCTTGAGTTCTTGGATGAACTCATCTAGGTTCTCTGAATTGTGATATTCCACGATGACCTTCGGCTTGACGGATCTTTCCCCGGAGGGTTCCATCATTTCTCCTTCAGTGGAGTCCTGATCGGTGGAATGCCGTCTCTTCTTGGTCTCTGAGGAAGTATCTTTTTCCTTGTTGTGCTTGGTGGAATTCACATAATTGAAGAAGGCATCGGCGAATTCGCGGATCTTGGTGTCGTACATCTCGTAATCTTCATGATCGAGATGCTTCTTCATGATCGACTTGTTGCTCGCCATGAGGCTGCCATCAGGTTCAAATGCTGCAACAATGTTTCTTGCCTCGATGGTTTTGTCTGTCACCGCTGTTCTCTCTTCGGAGAGGCGGATGCCATAGTCTTGGTCCTTGAGAAATGCAAGGATCAACAGTGCATCTCTTCCTGCTGGCACATGGGTCAATGCGGCTTCTGACTCATCGTCTTCGAGGATGACGTCATCGATGCATGCCATGTGGACGTGCATTCTCCCCGAAGGGTTTGACTGGGATTTCCCAGATTTGAGCCCGTGCTCCATGATGCTGTAGAGCTGATTTCCATAGGTTGCATGGAACATGAATGTGATGGGCTTCTTCGAGAACGGCTTGATCTTTCTCTCTTCTTCCATGGATGGTGGTGCCGGCCTTCGCATTCTGTACTTGGGCTGAGCTGTGCCTTCATCTCCATGAGGCGCCTCGGATCTTGACGGATGCGGACTTGGCGGAATGGATTCCGTTGGGAGATCATAGTCCGGTTCGTCGTGATGAGGCTCTTTCTGCTCAGAGCACAGGGATCGTCCAAAGGATTGGATAT